TTGGGCATTCTGAGGGCACTTGATATGCTACTTTCTGAATATACAAGGATACATGTGTCTCAACAATAGAAAGCAAATAATGAACAAGAAACACCCTGGTGACAGATGAAAAGATTATCACATGAATTTAGAGCCGTGTCCTCATTACCTAGGATTTCATACATGGGTTCTGGTTTGGCACATGGATTCTAAAAGTACTATGTTAGATTTCCATCACTGAAGCAAAATAAGACAGTCAGCTTAAAAAGAGGAAAGGTCCATTTTGGTTCACAGAACTTTTGGATGGTGGTTTGGGCCTGTGGTGGGGTGGCTTATGTGTAGGGGGAGTCCAGCACCTTGGGAGATGGGCCGGATCCAACTTTAGCAGGGCTGTCTTTGGGTAAATAGCAGTATGCCCAGTGCAGCCTCAGATGAGCTCTCAGGAGTGTGAGGAGTGGAGAATGCTTATGCAGACACAATCCTGCCACCTGTCTCATTCTGATACTACTGTTTCCATGCTGGGCAGCTGGTAGGGCTTGTGTCTAGATGTCCCCTCAAAGTCTTATGTGGTCATAGGTGGGGCTTTTCAGAGGTGGCTGGATCTAGGGATTGTGCTGCTGGGATTAAGGATGTGATGCAGGGATTGATTCATGGTGTGATGCTAGCATTCAGGCTGCCCCACCCTGGGTGTGAGTGCTACCAGCCCTAAGGTGTGTAGCCTGGATAGGATACAAGTAACAGAAAGAAGGTTGCTGGTAGCCTAGTGCTGCTTTGCTACATTGCTGCCTTCTGCCTCCCATGAGCCGTCTCTCCTCTGCGATGCCTGTCTGCCATGCCACCCTGCCTTGAAGCCAGCTGACTATGGACTGAACCTTCACAACCGTGAACTAAATAAACCTCTTCTCCTTTGACTTTGGGTATTCAGATGGGTATTTTGTCTCAGCAATAAGAAGAGTAAGAGAGCATCCAAGAGCTTCTTGGATGGGCTTTCTGAGAACTGAGGTCTGTTCTGGATAGTCAGAGGCTTCTTTCTAGGAGCAGGTGAACAATGATGTTCCATTGTGTAGTTGAAATCACAGAAATTCTGGACTTTGCCCTGGATCAAATATTTATAGTTCCTTTTGACATCCATCTATTCCATTCATTTAACCCCTGTCCTATGCTGTGGTTGACTATAGATCTCATGACATTTTATGGTGAAGAAAGTTGAGTCAACTCTGTAATACATTTTAGGAAGCTGTAGGCATCCACTATTTGAGTATCTGTAGCTTCTGTACTAAGGTGATGGTAGGAAAACATGACACATTGAAGAAATGGATTAATTAGGTTGTAGGCAGTTACATTTTTCTTGTATTTCAGCTGGTCATTGGTTAGAAAATAATAATTGCTACAGTCATCACACATGAGACTAACCCATGCTTTCTCAGTCTCTGAAAGCCAGAAGTAACTGTTTATCTGGTTTTGAAGAGATTGTTTTTAGTCACCATCTTCAGAATACTGAGTGTTTTGATGTATTGTAAGTGAATTGCTTTTAAGTTAGACGAGAAGTTAATTAGATCCAAAATAATTAATTAGACTAACTTATAAGTCAGCACTGTTAGCGTCACTGTATTCTGGAGCTGGTCAAGATGCCGGCCACATGTGGCTTGTTTGTCACTGAGGGTCCCTTGGGGGCTGCTGGCTGGTCTGTTCTTGTCCCTCCCTGCTGTCCTGACCCCTTCCCACTTGTTTGTAGAGAGCCAGCATTCTTTCTGTTGTAGATTAGAAGAATCTGTGCTCCAGTGGTTTTGAAAAGCAAAAAACCAAACATACTTGTGTTTCTCTTTCCAGGTGCCCTGAAGATTGGTTAGCTAGTGTGGAGCAGTGGTCCTAATGAGGACTGCTTTGCTGGGAGCCAGAGGCCGGGGTCCTTTATGTAGTAGCCTTTTCTGCTCCTGGCAGATGCCTGATTACTCATAGGTAAAATTTAGAGCTACTTTTAGATCATTCCAGAAATTCCTCAAGGTTTTTTTTTTTTGATTCAGTTACTTCTGCAAAATAATGTCCATTTAAAAACTTGTGACAGTGTGATTTAGTTAGAGCAACTCTGTGTCAAGACCTTGAACTTGGCTTCTGATAAAAAGTTGAGTCCTTGTGTAACTGAGATTGAGTCCTGAGTGTGAGGCCGAGGGCAGTGTGTTTTCTGTCTCTGGGGTGGAGCGTGGCTGGTGCTGCGGCCTATGGAGGCGGAAGTCCCAGTTCATGTGATGGAGAAATGCTTGTGGCCTGTCGTGTAGATGGAGTGTGAAACAGCGCGGGGAGAGAGGTGCCTGGGGACCTCCCTTTAAAAATGCAATTTCAGAAGGAGTGCCGGCCAACTTCTGCATTACAGACAGCTCAGGAAAGAAAGGACTGAATTGGTGTGGTTTTTTTTCCTTTCATCTGAAAGCCCAGGCAGAATCTTCCAGCACGCTCCTCTGTTCCTCCTCTCCTTACCATCAAAAGTGAGCACTGGGGCCTCTAATGTGCTTTTCATTTCTGAAACCAAAGTTTAAGGTCGACGTGGCCAGAGCGCCCCAGGCCATGGCTATCCCCAGTGAGGCATGCTTACAGAGGGTGTGATGAGTCCACGCCCACCTCTTCCGGTCTGCCAGGCCTGCCCAGAGTGGGTTGGATCTCCGCACAGGTCCCGTTCCCCCAGGGCAACCTGGCCTTGTCCCTGCACCCTCACCTGCGGCACCCCTTGCTCTGCCCTCCAGCCCTGACGGCCTTTCCCCTTGCTGCTCTCCTCTGCTTCTCCACCTTTCCTCCCATCTCATTCCTCTCCCCTGCTTCCGTCCTCTGCCCCTTTTCTCACTTTGACGTGTTTTCTCCTTCCTGTGTATTTGTCTTGAAAAATAAAGATCACATTGTTAGCCCACTCTGAATCTGCCCCCTCACTACTCCCTCTCGTTGGATCCTCTGGCAGTCAGCTTCTTTGTTGACAGCAGTTTAAATCTGATTTCCACTTTCGGTGATTTTCTTTTCCCCCATACTGGTCCACTTCCCCAGCTCCTTCAGCCTTGCGTCCTTGGGCTCCTCCTCCTCTGCGCTGTCACCCCGCTGTCTTCCTCCAAGCTTGCCGAGAGTCTTCATCCTCTCGTGTGCCCATCCGCTCTCACGTTCAGCTTTCAGTTTAGTGCTACTAAATTGACAAATTACGTCTCTAATGCCAGCCTGACGTGAAGTTTCAGAACTCTCCTCAGCCTTGCTTCTTTTTCTAGGTTGTGAGTCTGGACTGTCTGCCAGCGCCCTTCACAATGCCCTCTGACACCTCAGATCTGCCTCCTCTGGCCACACCCACCCTCCGCACCCTCCCGGCTTGGCTGCTTGACCCTTCCTGAGCTCTGGCCAGGATGCATGGAGATGGCTCAGGCCAGGAAGAAGTGCCAGGTGTCCTTAGGGTCCCAGGTGGCGTACCCGGCCCTGCTCGTTCTTGCTTTCTCATGCTTGCTGTCTGTGTGCTTGGTGACTTGACTGCTTGCATGGCCACCAGTTTCTAAGCCACTCATTCACCTGCTGGCCCGTCCATACCTGACCACACCGTCTATTCCTAAGATCAGCCACCTCTCAGTGGCTGCTGCCAGCCCAGCCCCGTGTAGGTGCTGTGATGTCACAGAATGCGCCGCTCTCCTGGGAAATCTGTCTGAGAGTCTCACTGTGGAATGTCGTATATACAGGATATGGATATGAAATAGTGTGGCCCATTTGATCAGTCACAGGAGAATCAGTGGCCAGGCCCAACTGCACTCTTAGTCAAGAAGGCTCTCCTTGTATCCAGGCAGCAAAAGACGCACCTGTTGAAGCATGGTGGGGCTTTTTCAAACCCAGCCTGGCTTCTTCCTTCTTCCTTTTTATTCATCTGGGCTGCTAGCCTATTGTGAGCCTGTCCCATGCCTACTTTAAAGGCAGTGTAACATTTTGCCCAGGGTTTTACCTTAGATTATTCAAGATCCTTTGACCTCAAGGTGACTGTTTAGCATGTTGCTACTATAAAACAACTTTCATATCACTGTCTTAATATAATATTTGCCTGTCTGATTACTCCTGAAGGTGGAACACACCTGGAGAGCTCTAGAAGCTAGATTTTACTGGTCCTCGGACTCACTCTACACCTTGTGTAGAGATGCTGGAACTTGCAGCCCCTAACTAGGAGTGACCAGGGCCTGTGACCTGGCGGCCTCAGGCACCTGTGTGAGTTGGTCCTGTATGGAGGGAAGAGGGTGAAATTGCAGGAGGACAGTATATCTTGTAGCCACGGTGCTTTGTGCTTAGTAGTCTAATGGTGTGGGGCTGTGTGTGGATGTGTGTGTGGTTGTGTGAGATTAGGCCTTGCTATGTAGGCCAGGCTGGCCTTGAACTCAAGGCAGTTCTCCTGCCTCAGCCTCCCAAGTGCTGGGATTACAGATGTGCACCACTATGCCTGCCTTGTGTATGTGAAGATGTGGAAAAACTGTGCTCACATCCTCTGTGGTAGCTAAACAGTGGCAGAATCTTGACCTCCCTGGATGTGGCTGCTCCACGCGCCCAGTGTTACAGAAAGCTGCCTTTTCTCTCCACGTCCCAGGCGCTTGGCCTTCCACATTAGAGCTTTCTGAATGGCTTCCGGCTGGGCCCCGCCCCGCTGGGCTTGCTGTCCTATGCAAATCTCCTGGTTTGGGGTGGGCGGCTCCCAGGACTGCGAGCATCTGGGCGGCGCTGTGCCTTGTGTGGTGTGGGGGTCTGAGCCCAGTGACGCGGGGCTGTGGCCCCGCGGGGTGGGCGCTAGCGGAGGGGTGGGCGGAGGACTGCGGGGCACTCTGCCCTGTCCACTTTGGGAGAAGTGGAGTAGCATCTGCAGCGAGCTCAGCGAGCGTCTCCTTCGAGAGTCGCCTGGCCAGAGCTGGCTTGCGCAGCAGTGTGCAGTGTCTGTTCCCAGCGCGGTGCACTGTAAAGCCACACTGCGGCGCCCAATGCGCAGTGACCTCGAAACCCCGCACTCACTCTCTCTCTGCCTTCTGCAGCCACGAGGACTTCGAGTTCATCTCGGGCACACGCATGCGCAAGCTGGCGCGCGATGGCCAGCGGCCACCCGAGGGCTTCATGGCGCCCTCGGCCTGGGCGGTGCTTTCCGAGTACTACCGCGTGCTGGAGAAGGCGTGAGCCGCCGGGATGGATGGAGCCGGAGGACCGAGCCGAGGACGAGGACGGACGGAGGGGACCCAGGGCGCTCGCCCTCTCAGCCCGCGCTGCCTTGGTCGGTCTCCCGTCGCTCGCTGCTTTTAATGTCTCTTTTCCACTCGTTGTTTTCACTGTTCCTGCAGACGATTTTACAGCCTTGTCTTTTTAGATCGTGTTTATGCTTCTGTCTCACAGTCCCTGCAAGCTGTTAGATTAGTTGTAACCAGTAATACACAGTCTTACTTTTTCCTCCCTTAAAAAAAGAAAAAAAAAATTACTGAACGATAAACATGGCTAGACCTTGTCTTGGAAATTTTGCAAGACAGCTGTAGCAGTGAGATGTTTTTTCCTATATTGAACATGTAAACCACTTCCTCTCTTCCTTCCAATTTGCTATTGATCTTTCAGCTGTTATAATGTAAAACATTCTTAGGACCTGGATAAGCTCAGAACAGACTTCTTTATTCAATAAAATTACATTTTTTGGCTTATTGTTTATGTGGCATTTTTATATTGTTTTGCTCACACATAGCTTTTCTGTGTTTGTGAAAGATTTCTGCCAGGCATGGCGGGACACACCTGTAATCTCAGCACTTGGAAGGCTGAAGCAGGATTGCGGTGAGTTCAAGGCCAGCTGGGACTACATAGTGAAACCTTTCTGTCTCAAAAAACAACAAAATTTCTGCTAGATGAGGGAAAATGTAGGCATCTTGATTTGTAGAATCCAGTAGTCAGCTCCTAACACCGTGTTAGTTTTGGGTAGTAGGAGCTGTTTTAAATAGGAAAAGAATAAAGGACTCTTAGTCCATCCAAAAACTTAACTAATTTCCCCAAAGATGCCTGTATTGGTCTTAAACACAATAATCCACCAAGGGTTTAGCAATAATCCACCAAGGGTGGGCATTATTGCCTTATTTAACAACCGTTCCTGGTGTTGTAGGAGCGACTTCTAAATCACAGTGGCTTAACCTAAAGAAGGCTTTTTTGGTCTTAATAATGTCATGTTCTCCTAGAGGGTTGATAGAGACATTCTGTTGACCTTCACCTTCAGTTTGATGTCCTACCACCTTATACTACCATGACAAGAGGTTTTGGAGGAAAAGAGCATAAAAAATTAAAATTATACACAATGCACTCTTATAGACCTAGCTACTCAGGACCTGAGACTGGAAGATTTCTTCAGCCCAGTTTTGAGACCAGTGTGAGAAACATAGGGAGACCTTGTTTTAAACTCACGGACAGGTTCTGAAGTGTGGCTTGCTGGTGACCCTGTCACCTGCCTATTGATTGGGCAGGACAGCTTGCACAGCTCCTTAGCTTGGAGGAGCTCAGGGGATGGACTTCTGGGTACAGGAGGCAAACATGCAATTCAACTTCAAGGTAAATTTTACGTCAGAAACATTTCAAAAAGCAAGAAACACAGGAAAAGTGCATTTAAAAACTGTTTATTGGTCAGAAAACAGCTTATCCATCTGAAATGAGATGCAGGGGGCCTGACCTTGCAAGATGATGACTTTTCAGGAAGGGTGGGGTTGTAGTGCGAGGGGATGGGGGGGTGTTCCATGATGGAGCATGGCACATTCAGGGCAGCAGAGGAGAACAAGGGGTTTTAAGGGGAAAATGAGGACAGGCACCTGGGCATTTCGAAGCAATTGCTCTTTTGTTGTGATGATTACTAATGAGGATGACGTCAGGCCAAGGTTGAGCAGGCAGTTGCTGGGCAGGTGTCTTTGTAGAAGTACTTTTGGTACAGGTAGTGGTTTTGACAGTCTTTTTGTGATAGTTCTTGTTATCAGGCAAGTATATGTGAGTGTGATGCCCCCAACCCCCTGAGGACTTTGCACCTCCTTTGTCTTTGGGTTTGACGTAAGTGACTCCATTTTGATTCTGGCAATTTCCACAGCATTCTTTCAATCCTAAACCTAAATTCTTGTAAAATTAAGAGTAAAGAAAATCAGATGATGTGTGATCTAAAATGTAACTTGTGCTTTATCAGGGACTTGTCCTTTCTGAATCTCATCCCAACATGGCCTGGCCTCAGCCCACCGGAGAGGAGACTTGGTATGAACCTGAGTGCAGACTTCTGTTCCCTAGGGATTAGCCACCCTCTGTGTGTTACAGAAAGACCGAGCAGGAAATAAAAGTGACTGCTGATTTCCACCAGTCCACAGGTTGGTTTGGACTTCCTTAATCTACAAATCTGATATATGTGGGAATTTTATTTTTCCTCTCTTTAGTTCATAAAAATGAACTCAAACCAGTCTTTAAAATTTCAGCCTTTTTGCCCAAACCTTTCCTGCCAAAAAGTCTTGAAACTCTAAGTGCCATTTTTATCAATCCATCAGCTGGAAAAGTGGATGGAAAAATAATTATTTTTTTTAGCAGAGGAAAATAAAGTGTAATCATCTTGGCAGAAATGCAGTGTCTTAAGTCCATCCATTTGCTATTCCACAAAATAATCAAGACCACATATTCAAGTTTTGCTTTCATCCAGGAGGGGAATAATTATATATATCTCTGGAAGTCAGCATGCAAGTATTTTATCAGGAGAAATTCGGAAGTCTTGTTTCCCACACGGGGCATATCTTCATTAGCAGACATATATCCAACAGTGGGTTGGCTCACAGAGTGAAGAGGTTTTGCCCACTGGCCTCTTAAGTGTGGTGTGCATTACTGGGAGGGCTACAGCTAGATTCTCTTCCTAATTGCACAGTCTTGTCCTGCATATATTTATTTTCTGGACTGAGTTAAAACCCACTGCTCTCAAGGACTGAGTGAGCAGGGTGTCTGGAGAGGAAGGCTTCCTGTCCCCACTTCTGTTCTCATGTTCCCAAGGGAGACACCCAGAGTTAGGACTTGGTACCCATGACTCCTGAAGAGGGAGGTTGGAAAGAACAGCGGCTGGAGTGACTGACTCCGCAGAGGTGGGGGTTGGCAGAGCAAGGGTGCCCATGCAGCTCTGGGTGGACGCTGACCTGCTCGTGACCTTTAAGAGGAGGAGAGGGTGTCCCAACAGCCCCCACCTCACACCCACATTGTTTTCCTCTGGATGAGAGATCCCAAAGAAGGCTACTTTCTGCAGCTTCGGACTCCCTAGTACCTCAGCTCAACATGCCCTGTATACCATTGGAGCATGCTGGGGGCAGTGGAGTCCAGCATGCAGGTTTAAGGCTGATGACCTCCTTCAACAGCATGCAGCAGCTGACGAGGCGGGGAGCTCATGTTGGAGCATCATGAAAGGAAAGGAATCTGCCATGGGAGCTGGCAGCTGTATGGTGAGGAGGGCAATTATGAGCAAGCACCTTCCTTGGAAGAGTAGAGGGAGGAATTAGGTAGAACCAGGCAATGGTGGGTGTAAACAGGTGGAGGAAGGCTGTGAAGTAGGCTGTATCCTTAATGCAAGCAGGAAGAAGCGGCCAGCTGCAAGAGTTCTCTCCCGTGAGAGCAGGCAAGGTGACCTGGCTGCTGCCCATCTTTACTGTCTGATACAGTCTCACCCTTTGTCACCCAGGTCCTATGGCTGCTTGTGGGCAGCGGCAGAGTTGAGTGGTTGAGACAGAAACTTCGTGTCCTGCAAAGTTGAGCAAATTTACCATCTGGCTCTTTACAGAGCGCCTGTCAACACCCCTAGATGGAGAGTTACTTCCGTAGCCAAGTGTCCGACCTCAAAAGGGCACAGGTGCGGGGACAGCAGCATGCATACCTTTCAGTCTGTGTCTCACCTTCATGTTACTTGCTTGGAGTTGGTGGAGGTTGGAGAGCAGAGTCCCATAGCTATGGGAGACAGCAAGACCCCCCAGAGGGTTTAACCCCTCAGTCAGGGAAAGTAGTGTGACAGTGGCCGATTCCCTCCTGTCTAGGACACTGGATGTTAGTGACAGCTGGATGTCCAAACACTTCATTCTCACCTGTCAGGTCCGTGCAGACTTTGCCTGGGGCTGTGTGGACGGAGTTGCACACTGAATCAGCCAGAGCTTTTTGTATCATATTGATCCAATTCTGGTAATAGGAACCAAAAAATTTTAAGTGATTATATTATTTTAAAATAAGAAGGATAGATTAGAATCACTTGTAGGAAAATGGATGCACTTTGAGATCATAATTCTAAGTGAAATGAAACGCATGAGTTTAAATACTACACAGTTTCCTCTTATCCGAGAAACTCAATTTATAAATAAAGTGCAAGATAGGTAGTAGGAAGTGGAGAGATAGGTTTTCTCAGATGGGCAGGGGACCAAGAGTTGAATAGCTGGGGTGGGGAGGAGCGGAAGGGAATGCGAAAAGAACTGAGATGTGCTATGTACACAAGGAGTGTGATCATTACGTACTGCAGACATGTACCAATAAAAACAAAAATGTAATTTAAAGAAGTACAATAACTATAGTGAAAAGAATAAAAATATGTCTAAATTTCAGTACACCATGATTCTACCGGTAGTTTTTGACTTGAATCTTAGCATGACTGTCCAGGTGACAAAAGTTCATGAGTGAAACATTGGATTTCTCAGCAAGGGCCCACATATGTGATGCTCACGGTTGTCATGCATGTGACCAGGGTGTGAGCCGGGGTTCCTGTGGCAGTGCCCACCTCCTGACTGCCTGGTTTTAATTTGTATACCATGCATTATATGAACGTTTCCCCCTGCATTTTGTTGCCTTTAAAAAAAAAAATTAGAGCAAAAGAAAAACCTTAATATATCAATCTCTCAGGGAGGTCACCATATACCATACAACAGCTGTGTGGGTTCTTAAATTTTTTACATTTTTACTTTGGAACAATGAAGAAGGGAATTTGTTTCTTTTATTCATATTTTTAATTGATTAACCATATTATGCTCAAAGTTGGCAAAAATGTTTTCTCTTACTACGAGAAATAACCAAAGGAGAACAGAGAGCCTCAATACAGAAAACTATGGGATAACTTAAAGACAAACTTGAAAACTTGAGTTTTAAAAAAATAAATTTAATTAAATAATTTTTATCAGTACTTGTTTGCAATGCATAAAGATTACATTCATTGTTTGGAATTGTTTTATGCACACAGCACATCTATTTCTTTTTGTCCACATCAGATTTATTTATTTTTGAGTCTTTATCAAGTTAATTTTCATAAATACAAATTAACAGCCAGACTAACAGACCAAAAAGCATATATAACACATAAAACAATTATACCAAATTAATGTATTTTTGATACATTGGCCATGCTGGAGTATAACAACTTTTTTTTCTCTTTTTTTTCTATTGTCTGTCTTTTATTTTGTGCTTTATTTATATGAGAAACCAGACAATATTTAAGCTCATATGTCTGAATTATTTCACTTAACATTATGGTCTCAGGGAGCACCCATTTTCCTACAAATGACTCATCTATCCTTTGTGTCAGCATACTACATTGTGTATAAAGACCATATTTTCTTTATCCATTCATCTGTTGATGGCCATATAGGCTGCTTCCAAGATTTAACTACTAAGAGTTGTGTTGCTATAAAC